ATTAATCAACAAGCTGAAGGCTGGTGGTACTAGTGTATATCTTATATCGGGAGGCTTTCGTCAAATGATCAATGTATGCTGCTAGACTCTATAACAAGGCTCATATTTTTTGTGGTTATAATAGTACAGATCACGATTTGCTGCTAAAATATTTTGCAGCGCTATTTAGACTGCATAAATGACACACTAGAAGCAGTTTAAAAAAAAAAACTTAAATTCAAGTCTATAATTGAGAGCCTATAGAGTATTACCAAGTGACTTGCACTCTAGTGGCACAACTTATATAACAAAAGTTAAGACACAAAATTCTAATTTGCATAACTTCCAAAACGCAATGCTGAGATGCAGATAACTTTGGTTTCCTGTTCTTCACAAGTTTGGTTGGACAAGTTGCATAGAGGCTGCAGTCGATGCAGATAAAATCATTTTCATTCTGCTTATGCACCATCATGAATCATAACTATGTAAATCTGCAATTTTCTCATCAATTCTCACAAAAATTTTGTTATATGACTGAGAAGTATTACTAGTATTCTCTTGCAATCTTATTCTTTTAGTAGGTAGCATGTTCTTATTCAATCTAATTTTGTTGGATAAATCAATTAACCATGCAAACTTCCAAACATTTTCCAAACCCCAACATGGTGATTATCAAGTCCTATAGCTTTCAGAAATCATATTTGCATAGCTTCTTTTAACTTCAGAAGCCTATGTATTCAACAATATCTCTAGTTTCTGCCTTGATTTGACTTTATTTGATTCTGTCTCAAGTCTCCTTTATGATTCTCATTAAACTAGTTAATAACTTTCTAAGAAACCTTGCATAATTTGTTACTCATTTTATATGTCGCTAACAGCTGTAGTATATTTTTTCTATGAAGTTTGAATTTACTAAAAATAGTACGCTGACACATTTAAGTGTGAAGCCTGTTGCATCACAGCTTGGAATTCCTCGTGAAAACATCTATGCAAATCAATTACTTTTTACGAGTTCTGGGGGTTTCCTTGGGTTTGACAAAGACGAGTTTACTTCAAGGAGTGGTGGGAAGGCTACAGCTGTGCAACATATAAGAAAGGTACAGGAATTTGTGATGGTAATTAAGTTAGATAATTATTTCTCGACTTCTTCATCATTTTATAATTTGGGACTTGTAGGTCCATCACTACAAGACTTTGGTCATGATTGGAGATGGAGCAACTTCATTTTATAATTTGGGACTTGTAGGTCCATCACTACAAGACTTTGGTCATGATTGGAGATGGAGCAACTGATCTTGAGGTATGGAAAAAAAATGGTCCATCACTACAAGACTTTGGTCATGATTGGAGATGGAGCAACTGATCTTGAGGTATGGAAAAAAAATCTTTGATATCAATTTTCTAAATGTTATATCAATTTCGAATTTTTGGTGCATCAGTTAGGTTGTAGAAGTTTTGATTGAAGACCGGGTCTAATATTCATTAATATCAAAATATGCCAAATATTTCCATATTTTAGCCGTTAATATGGATTCATTGCCAATTCTAATGGCAGACTAGCAAAACCCACTAATATTTATGATATCAATGCTATAAAAAGCAACAGGAAGAGTAACTTTCACTAAGATTTAAACATTGTTACGTAGTGTATGATACTGCATCATAAGATAAAAGGTTTACACGAATTTTTTCATCGCAGATCCTACCATAGTCAATTGTCATGGCAGTCTAGCGTTTACTGCAGCATAGCCCCCGCGCGCCGCGCCCCCCCCCCAGCCCAAAAAAAAACCACGCCTCCAAGAAATAAATTAAATAAATAAATCATGAGGAAGAGAGGCATCTTGCAATTTATTTTTTCTAAAAGTGTCAATTCAGGGGTGTTAAGTGCTAGTAAATGAGTTAAGGGGTGTTAAGTGCAAATGAAGGTATAGATGAGGAGAATTTTGTGCAATTTACCATACAATCGATGCCCATGTTTTTCTTGACTGGCTTTTATTGATGAATATGTTCCAATAATTTTGGGCAGTTTGATCCATGAAAGATTGAACTGATATTTTGTGTTGCTTCTATACTCGTGCATGTGTGTGCATGCAAACATGCGCACACAAGGATGACCTCATTCTGTCTGCCTACTGTGTTACAGGAAGGCCGAAGAACAATACCGGGTGTTCTATGTTTTATTGAATATTTGTAGCCTATCTCCCATCCTTGCCATACTACAAATCCAAAAGCTTAGTTTATTATTTTATTTTATTTTTCAATTTAAGTGTCTTGATCCTAGAATGTCTTACTCCAATAAAACTCACCGCATATTTCCTTTCTGACTTTCCATGACTAATGTGTATCACGTCAGCAACACACAAACTATGAGCATGAGAGGACTCGCCATATCCCGTTTACTCTCTTATTTTACCATATCAAGTGTTTATATAACAAATAATTTTTTTGCTCAGTTTAATCTTTTTTTTAAAGAAAGGATCATGTATTCCTAGAGTTAATATATTTTCTTCTATTTTGCAGGCTCGGCAGCCAGGTGGCGCTGATCTGTTTATATGCTATGGAGGGGTTCAGCTGCGTGAAGCAGTCGCAGCCAAAGCTGATTGGCTTGTTTTCGACTTCAAACAACTGCTAACTTCATTGGAATAACTGTCCTCCAGTCACAAGGGAAATTTTACCACCATTATTTTGATTCAAGTTTTCTTTATAGATATTATTTACAATTCAGAATTCAAAATATTTGTATCTAAATTGCGGTTTCTCCCAGTTTCCTTTTATCCTGTGTGTTTGACAGTTCGATTGAATTTTTTCGGAGAGGGACTTCTGAATCTTTTCTATATTGTGTTTGTTTTATAAGTAAATCACAATTCATAGTAGTTGAAAACAATTATGCTAAGAGGCTTGAGGCTGACTATGCTGGTGATTTGTGAGGCTTGGATCTTTAGTTACACTTGATCTAACACTCAACTCTATTTGGAGTTTGACATTGATAAATTTTGATTCAAGGAGAGAGAAGGTGAAGTTCTAATGAATGCATAGATTTTGGTTCGAGGGGGACTAAACAGAGATTTTGTTCTCTAACTATGAAAAACTTTAGAATAGTTAATTAGAGAGAGACGCTAACGTATGCCATATTATTTAGTAGGTAGATCGACAAATAGAAATATTTAGTGGTTAAAATATTAACTTTTAAAGTACTAAAAATTGAAACAAGCACGTTTAAAAATCTTACGTTATCACTAGCTTAGTAGCCTTCTTCTCAGTTAGTGGAAAGCTAACTTCACACTCAACCAAGATTAATCAAGTCTTTAGTGGAACACTAGCTTCACGCTCATCCGACATTTGTCCAAATCAAAGATTTTATGTTTCCTACAAGTTACAATCTCTCTGCCGTTTCAGTTTGTTTTGCTTCGTCAAAAGAATCCTACAGGGACCTAAGAAGAAAATACTATAGTAAATAAGGGAAGAAACAACAACATCAAATCTGCGCAATCTAGCGCAATTTCAATATAATACGTAAATATTAATACCATCAGGTGAAATATCATCAAAAATAGCAATATTATCATGTCAGATGGGATCCACTGGGATAGTTTGGTAGGTTTGCAAAAGCTCTTCCTAACTTGTAGTTGAGATGAATACGAGACGGGTCCCAATTCTTAAAGGGTTTTCTTGTGGCGGTTTAATTTTCCAAAAATTTAAGAAAACATTTAAAAAAACATATTTCCTATAATACTTTCTTTTTTTTCTTTGCTCACAACCGGATGATGCGATACTCTTTTATTGGGTGATGCGACTTAAATTCTAAAAAAAAACTCATTGCGTACTCTTTTATTGGACGATGTGACTTAAAATTCTAAAAAACTGATTTCATAAATTTTGAAGAAAATTGGAGGAATCGAGAAACCAACTAAACGGGTCACTTTCTCGTGACGCCCTCGTTATTGCGGTCACCAAATAAGAGAGAGGAAAGGCGCTTGTCTTCATCTACAACTCAAATTAATATTGTTGTTGAATGGTAGCTCACAGTTACAGTACATTTCACGTGTTTATTGTATAGTTAAGAGGCTGACATGGTAGCGAAAAAGGCTAGGTGACAGCACAATGATCAATTCTCAATAAAATGTAGTGTGTTGGCTAATAGCTGTTCATTTCACGCATTTAAGTACAAGGAAACAAACAGGCAGAATTGTGGTAAATATTCGACCACAGTGTCCTAATATATATCCCGCACATTTAACGTCGTCATCTCTGCTTTCTCCCTATGAACTCCATTCAATCTGCTCACTATTTTCTATTCGACCGAGGACTCTGATCTTTCTTCTCCTCATATGCGCGATTTGGTGAACACCCATTTGATCCTTCACTCAGTTCATCAGATATAAATATATATAAGGTCCGTTCTGTAATGAGTTTCCGCTGATTTCTGCTCAGAACTCAATCTTTCTTCTTCTTCTCATTTGTTATTAATTTAGTGACCCATTTGATCCTTCATTCAGTTCATCAATTATAAGGTCTGTTCTCAGGGTCTGGAGTGTGGTTTAGTTAATTTCTGTTGAGCTTCTGCCCATTTGATCTTTTACTTCGTTCTTCAGATATAAGGTTTGGTTAATATCTGAAAATTTAAGGTTAAATTTGAAATTTTTTTTGGTAGGTTAATTGCTGTGAGTGATGGGTTCTTGTTGGTTGATTCTGTTGGTGATCCTTTCAAGCCTGCTTAGATTTGGAGTAGGAATCCATTGTGGAAAGCAGCCCCTTTCTAAAATTGCCATTCACAGAGCTAGACTTGCCATTCATAATTCCGCTTTTGTCAAGGCTACTCCTCTGATCCTTGGCTTGAAGGTAGCTCCATTTCGGTGCTTTGATTTTACTTTTTCGGTTCGTGCTAAAAACCTGAAGTATTTGACGCTTGATCAAACTAGTTATCAAAAATTCTCGCATGTATAGTTCATGATGAAAATTATGGAAGCATGATAGCTTACATGTGGTTGGATTCAAGTGATAGCTTAATTTATGTGGGGGGGAATTGTTGGCCACCACACTATCAAGGCCTCATTGCTCAACTCTAACTTGGTTTCTGGCCAAAAGTGCTAATTTTAGTAAGAATTCTTGCGTAATGGTCCTGATGAAAACTGCGAAGCATGATCGTTTCATATATGCAGTTGGCTTAAGGATCTGATAGCTTAATTAGCATGGCCTCACCATGCAACTCCATAACTTTCCAATATCGATTTCATATAAAATGCATCTAGATTTATGCATGTAATGATGGATTCAAAACATAAGTAAGCTCGTGCACATTTTTCTGGTAGTTAGAAGTTAATTTGCATGTAGAATGACTAGATAAAAGCAATACTTGGAAACAAGTTGGCGATTTTGATTTTATAGAGTGTTGCCGCTTCTTGTTGTTTTCTCAAACCTGTGTTTTATATTTCAGACTATACTGTGGTTAAGAATACATGAGCTTCCAATGTTTTTCTCAGATCATTTAATTGACATACTTTTAAATTAAAAAAAAGAGAGGAGAAGAAGAAGAAGTGTGGGCTGTTCTTTTAATCTTTCAAATTTTATTTTGATAATGGTGCTCTACTTATGTGAACCTATTTAAGAATGAGAGGCTTCTAAGCTAGGATACTGGGACACTTCGTTTTGGGTGCCGTATCCATCTCAATCATGTGTCGGACACGGATTCACCACGGACATGCCATGGACATTTGTGGTTCAAAGCAAAACCCAGTTTCCCTATACTTATAATCCTAAACTAGTTTCTTTGGTATATCTAGCTCAAAATTAGTAACCAGAAGACCGAAACCATTACTTAAATATTTGTACCCATCGTATCCTATGCGGTCAAAACTAAACTTTTTTTATTAAACTTAGTTCCTAGTTTGATTTAACTTGATTCTTAATTGTTATAGATAGTAAAAGAAACATACAAATGTTATGAGTACTTTAATTTGATATTTGATCCAATGTAAATATTGTATACACACACATACACACATGCGCGCACGCGCACACACAGACATATACATGTGTTTTTGGTGTGTGTATCCATGTCCTAATATCCCGCCTTTTAAAAAATTATTGTATCCTCTGTTCGTATCAGCGTCCGTGTCCGCATCCTCACCTGTATCCGTGCAACCTAGTTTCTATGTACTTCGATTTTAAAGATTGAGCCAATTTTACAGGCTTTATAAGTTTAACTCCTAAAAAAAAAACTTCTCCTTCCTTTTTCAATAATTTTGGTCGACAAAACAACACAAAGTTACAAATAGGACATTATATAGAAAAATATTTTTTAACTCAAAAATCATAGAACTTATGATGGTGAAAGCAAAATTAACATAGTGAAAGACTCAAGCAACAACTGTTACTTTGGTCTGCTGCAGGGACATTAGAATTTGTAGTCACATAATCACTAGTTGTTTGTTGTTTTCCAGTGATTGATGGAACATAGTTATACAGTATCAGATCGTGCCTGATGTATCTGGACATATTACATTGTGCAAATTGAAATATCAACAGTTTTTATTCATTGGAATCTATTGAAGAAACAACCTTCCACTTGGTCATCAGGTTGCTTCCTTTTTAATGCAGGGTGAAAGTAGTCAATGGGTGACAGTAGAGTATAGCCACCCAAATCCAACACTTAATGACTGGATAGGAGTATTCTCTCCAGCAAACTTTAGGTAAGAATACTTTATTCACCAATAACAGAAAGGAGCTTCTATTTCTTCTTAATTGTTGCTGAATCCTAATCTGAGTGCTGGAGATTTATGCAGAAATCTAGAACTATCCAACTCCTATAAAATGAAGTATAATGCTTCGTGTTGTAAAAGCTCAATCTAATATGATTTCATTATTTCAGCACTTCCATCTGTCCTCTAGAAAATAACAAAGAAGAACCTCCCCTGCTATGTACAGCTCCCATAAAGGTCGGTATTGAATTATTGGCTTATGAGATTTGATTTGCTGGAAGCTTTTACCTTTGAAATTTGATTGATTGTTCTGTTTGAAAAGTTAGAATATGTTAATATTAAAGTTGAACAATCATATCTTCTCATTTTTCTTTTTTGCAGTACCAATTTGCAAGTTACCAAAATGATGAGTATCATAAAACAGGAAAGGGATTATTGAAACTTCAACTGGTCAATCAAAGGGCAGATTTTGCATTTGCATTGTTTTCCGGTGGTCTCTTAGATGTATGCCTCTTAAATGAACTTACACATTTGATATAAGAATTATACATCTCTAGTCATTTTGGATAATCATAAATTTTGATATAAAGTTCCATGGTTAATTCTGAAGTGTTTATACACTTAGAGAATTATGTATAGATAAGCTTCAGTATATTTCATATCTCAAAGTTAGTATCCTTTAGAATTGTTTCCATATGCTCTCTATTTTTTTTATTTCTTCTTCTTCTTTTTTAAAAAACACTCTCTTCATCCCTTTCATTGTATAGAACATATTTGTTCCCATTAGAAATGATCTTTTTATCATATAGTTACCTACAATTCAGTATGGTTAAATATATCTCATTCCAACTACCCATGCGTGCACACTTTGGTACATATCCCTCCCTCTCAAAGCCCTGTGTTTCCTCTTTTTCATTTGCTTTTGAGATGACCTTGTGTGTTTAATCGTACTTCTAGAGCTACAGCTAAAGGACATATCAGGATTTTGATTGAAAAAGAAAGAAATACTTTTTATGTTCTGATACCTTGAGCAAATTAATATTAGGATCTCCCTAACAAATTAAGGTAGAAAAATGTGACTATCTCATTTGGAGAATAGGCTTGAGGAGGTTCCAACATATCAAAACCTTTCATTAGCAAATTGGGTCAACTGTAGACAAGAGTGCAGGATAAGAAAGCTCCGATCTTGGCAAAATTTTTGACTGACTTCTATCCCTTGATCCAAATTCCTAAACCAAGTTAACTTAGTGCAAACCTGGTAGCCATTTAGCAGGTAAGGAGATTTGTGCATATGCTTGTGCATGTGAATCTTCCTCTCCATTTAAACACATAGCCTGTCTCTTATAGTAATTCTTTTTGGTTTTGCTTTGTGTAATATGTGTAATTAGTATAAACAGTTTGTATTATTTCCCTTCACTGAATATTCTTCATTATCTATTGTTTATCTTCTTTGCCTTCTGAGGTAGAAATAACCAATCATTGATATATGCATTCTTGCATCTGCATCCTGAGGAAAATAAGTACTGACATGGGCATTGATGTTGCAGCCAAAGCTGGTTTCTGTCTCAAATACACTTACTTTTGCAAACCCCAAGGCTCCTGTTTACCCACGGTTAGCTCAAGGAAAATCTTGGAATGAAGTAAGACATCTTACATTCTTGTAGTTGGAATTACTGGACTATATAACCAATCACTTTATTGCTAGTTATTTCTTCTCTCTGGAGTTTTTAAACATTTTCAATCTAGATTTATCTTCAATAGCATAACTGCTGCTAATTTGGAGTGGTTATACATTTCCCTTATGCTAGAGGAGGAAAACTGGATGGAATTGGAAAACATTGTAGGTTAATCAAATGTTCGGAACTATCATATTTTCTGTGAGCTTAAGTTGAAGATGGATGTTTTAGCCATGAAATTATGGATACACCTAGTTCTATAGATCCCTTCTTAGTTTGTAGCTAAATTTAGCATCTTTTAGTTGTAATATATAAAGCGGCAATTCCAAAACGTGCCCAAATATTATATCATTCAGTTCACAACATTATGCGGGCACATAGAAAGTTGAAGAAAGTACATATGTCTAATATATCTATGGGAAAGGATATATATTTGTGTGGTAGAATCATCGGAGATCACTGCAAAAGTAGCAAATGGACTGCACCATAAGACCCCCGGTG